CGCTGGCGCTCATCAACGCGTTGTTCGCGCGCGCCGACGGGGAGCGCAAGGGAGAGTACACGACCATGCTCAACTCCAAGGGCTTCCGTAACGTCATCCAGACGTATGTGATCAACCTGAAGGGCGGCAACGATCTGGGCGAGGAGCTCGCGCACCAGCTGTACGTGCTGCAGACGCTGAACCTCAACCTGCTGGAGACGCGGATGCGCACCCCGGTGCGGCCCGAGGACTCGGACGTGCTAGATAAGATCAAAGAACTGCGCAAGCTGGCATTAGACGACGAGACCAAGGGCTCAACCAACCGCAAGCCGGGAAGTTTCGCCAAGGACTACCAGCAGCTCGGCTTCCAGGACGGCATCAACCCGGCCAACGACTTTGGCGCCACGCCGCCGGGGGTGCTGGCGCTGGACTGCATGCTGTACCTGGCGCGCTGGCAGCGCGAGCTCTACACGCGCCTGGTGCTGGAGAACTCATGCGGCTCCGACCACGAGTGTCCGTTCGGGCGCACCTCGATCCGCCTGGCGGCGCTTCTGTGCGACATCCTGAAGGTCGGAGTGCCGCCCTCCGACGAGGGAAACACCTTCTATCCCATGTTCTTCACGCAGGACAGGCCTTTTGAGGAGTTCTTCTGCATCTGCATCAATCTGCTGAACAAAACGTGGAAGGAGATGCGCGCCACGGCGGAAGACTTTGACAAGGTGATGTCGGTGGTGCGGGAGCAGATCACGCGCGCGCTGCACGGCGGACAGAAGCTGGCCGACGGCGGCGGCGGCAAGCACGAGCCGCAGTCGCGTCCGGACCCGCCGGCCACGCTGGAGGCGTTCCGGAACCGGCTGAACACCTACCTGACGTACTCTCAGATCAACGCCATCTGGCAGCAGGAGCAGAACACAAAGGAGGAGTGGGAGAGCCAGGTGAGCGCGCGGCCGACCGACCGACCGGCGGCAGACCTTACCATGTAGAAATGTAGCCGTATGTGGCTGCTAACGCCAATTTAGCGTTTGAGTCCGGACATCAGCGTGATATCTGTTGAGATTGCTGTTGCTTATTCTTAATAGACTGTTAACTGGAGCAAATAATAAATCCCTTGCTTACTTATCTTGTCATAAACTGACTGAATTAATTCCTAACAAAGTGTATGTGCGCTTGCTCGTTTGTTCCAGGCGCGGCCGATCGTGGAGCTGCGCGAACAGATAACGCCCGAGATGCTGGAGCTGATCCAGACAGCGCCTCATCTACATGGTGGAGGGCACGCGCTTCACAAAGTACACGGCGCGCGGACAGGTGCGGCCGCTGCCTTCTTTGCGATAGAACGAGTCAATATTCTTAGAGGCTTTGAAAGTATGAAATGTTTCAACACATGCTTAACCCGGCAGTTGCTGGGGTATTTCGCCACCCACCGTTTGCTGGGGGGGGGGGGGGCGTTAAACGCCCCCAGCCGATAACTCGAGAACCAATAGGCGCAGCGAAACGCACGAGGCGGCAAACGAAAGAGCGCGACGTGACGCTTCAGATGAGTACTTTAAAGTTGAATTTTGAGGTCACAGGTCGGGTCAAGGTCAGGTCAAACACCTGAAATCGGGCTTGCAGTAGCATGGACTTCAGGACTTTGCAATGGGCGCCTCTCGCCATAAACTCTGTCAAAACGGTGCACAATCCATCTTATAAGGCCTACAAGAGTGTCAGCTCCATGTAGGGGTCAGTCAAGCATAGGTCAGGGTCAAGGTCAGGTCAACCGGATAGGCACATATCCCCGAAAATCAAAACTGATATTCGCAGCCTGTGACACATGTTTTATAGGTAATTTGGGGCGTAGAACACGATGGTGACATTTATTTTATCATATGTGTACGTGTTTGGCTCAAAAAGTTCAATTTAAGAAATTCATGTATCATGGTCGTGAAGTAGTCACGAAAAATTGCCAAGATTCAGTTCAAGATTATGGAAAATGCGGAACGATAATCAATAATCGAAGATAGCCATTTGATTGATCATGGTATTGGCAGTCTAATGGCGTTTACAGCATGTCTGTATGTCTATTCTGTGATTTTATATGATTTTTTGAACATATGCCGTTTTTGGTCGAAAACTCAGAAATCATGACGTCACTAAAACCTCGATATCTCAAAAATTTACCGACCGATTTTTTTGAAACTGTGTCACAATAAACTTCAATCAATTCCCTACAGGTACCCAAAATTTGGCGCGCCTGCGGCGCGCCGTTTTTATGCTATGGCCCGGCGAAAAAGTGGGGGCGTTTAACGCCGCCCCCCCCCCAGCAACTCGCGGGTTAACTGAATGATGGGAACGTAATGCGATTTGTCAGTCAATTATCTGATGCACGACGGGTCTGTTGAATATCGAGCTGGCCATTCCGTGTCGAAGTGACATGTGTAACACGTACACCTCCAAATATCTTAGTCTGTTCTGACCACTCGTCGATGCGGTTTTAGCGTGTGAAGGATAAGTTCTGGATGGTGCGTCTGTCGCCGAACCACAAGGTGCTCCACTACGGCGACTGCAGCGAGTTGGCCACCCCGACGCTGGACGAGCTCACCAACAAGCTGGCCGTGCACGAGGTGCGCGCGCTGGTCACCGGACGCGACTGCCCGCACATGAAGGACAGCAAGTACGTCCCAGTCGCGGGAGTGGGTACCCTCATGGGTGTCTGAGAGGTGGGCACTTGCAAGGTGCTGGGCCTAGGATCTCCTAAAGATCATATCCAGCCTATCTATTGAGTACACCATACCATTGGATTGACTTTCGACTCGACATAGGAATCTGAGGAGATATATTGCATTCTTATGAAATGCTGAGTCAAGCGACTGAGACTCTAACTGTTGCATCCGTTTTTCGATCATCAGCTCAGCAATTTACATTACACACTTGCCCTTTCCGCACACCCTAGCCCCAGGCAAAGTGTAGCTGGACACACGTACACTGACCGTGTGCTCCTATCGACTGCAGGGGTAAGAAGTCGACCTTCCAGCTGGCGTTCTCGCTGCTGTACGAGTCGCCAGAGGGCGGCTCGCTGGACTTTGTCGCTCCCGATGGAAAGACGTTCGACTACTGGACAGACGGCATCAACGCCCTGCTCGGTGAGCAATTCACTCTCATTAACTTTTATTCAAGTCTACAGATACCGGAGAGCGAAACAGCGCCTGCGTGCGGTCATGATGCGTATTGAAGTGCGCTATGGTTGATTGTCTAAATGAGGTGATATTCTTTCATGTTCACTCCTGAATCAGACATAGGAGTCCATTTATTAGAGGCGTGTGTCGTTGGCTCCTTTTTTCGTTTAGGATTATTCTTGGTATATTGAGCTTCAGGGAAGGTATTTTTTTTTGCAGTCATCTGGGGGTCAGATGTATCCGCTGCACGTCCATGAGACCCTCTGTGGCTGTTTTCAGCTCAGTTCGTGTCGATCAGATTTCTCCACACGTTTTCCCTGTGTCGGCAGGCAAGAAGATGAGTTCGGAGGAGGCGCGCCGCGACCTGGACATGCTGCTGGCCATGGAGATAAAGCTGCGGCTGCTGGACACGGACGGCCTGGAGATCCCTCAGGAGCCGCCGCCGATCCCGCCCGACCCGCCCAACTACGACTTCTGCTGCGACTGAGCGGCGCCGCACCCGTCTCCCGGTCAGTCCTGGTCCGACCCGCGCCGCCTCCTACCCTCCCCCGACCGGCGGCCCCTCTCCCCCCCCCCCGACCCAGTCCAGTCCGCCGGCTCCCCTCTGTCTCAGTCCGACCCCCCGGCGTCCCGTGGCGACAACCGCAGTCTTCCTAGGAGCACGTGCGAATCGGAATGTGAGCTCGAGAGAAGGGGGTTCGTGGAAAATGAGTTACCACGCGCCTCTCTTTTTGGGTGAGCCTTGCGAGGAAGCTGTCATTTAAGTTGTCCTGTGCTGGCATTGCACAGGTGACACCTCACTTTAGTGGAATTCATTGATATAGCGCAACAATGCCGCATGAATTAGCGTGAATGGTATACGTGTTTGCTTCCTCGAGTTGTCAGATTTAGTTGTCACTAGCTCAGCCTTAACAGTCTACAACTGCTGGAGCTTAGGTTGCAAATACCATGCTTCGTTGAGCTTGCCAAAAATAAGATCTCACTATCTGTGGATTGATGAATAGGCGTGCCATTGTGCAGCCCCCACCGGCATGTTGTGCTACAGTCAAGCTCATTGGTTTGTTCATTTGTCAGTAATGTTGATTCGACGGTACATTACCATTATTTGGAGCGCGAAATGCAGATGTGCACCACGAGATAATGCTGAACCACGTTCGGGACCAACTCTGAATCCTATCCACGGTTGCAATAATAATTCATGTTAGTCATTTGTAGTACATTTCGGAAGCTTAACTTCATGGAGTCGTTTAAACTATATTTTGATGTTGAATTCAAACCATTTTCCAATGGCTTTGACCGCTCAGTGCTAGTCGGATTCTGAGACATCAAGTGAAAAAATTATTTGCGTGAGTGTGCCGCGACTTCGTTCCCATAATTAGTTGATAGTCTGAAAACTATTATAAAATTGCATATTTATCATGCGCGAGGCGTGCTTTGCTTTTACGTATAAGTGCTTTGCCCTTTTTAGCTTGCATGAATTCTAAGTGGAATACTGAAACACCCAAGAGATTGCAAAATGGAAGCCTGGCGCTATATTTGATCCGTCATGGGGTCATTCGCACTGAGGTCAAACTGAGCTTATTTTTATAAGCCTTTAGCATGCTCTTTAGATGCGTACAGGCTTAGTCACGTTCTTAGCTTGCGTCGACTGTTAAGTGGTTATCATTTTCTGTTTGCGAATTAGAGCGTTGTTGAAAGTGTCCCGTGATTTCTAAGTCAACTCGTATCCAAACTAAGACATCCCATCCTCGAAAGTGGCATGAACTGGTTGCGTGATGTGGGGACTGAAGCATCCCTGTGCTTCATCAGTCCTGATCATTTTATACGATGGTTTGCGAAGAGATGCGGTCTTGATACACTGTACGTACATATGCGTATAAATATATTTTAAGTTTTATCAATTGGACCTGTGAAGGTAAAACAACAAGTCAGTGGCGACGAATCATCTCAAGCGCAGTGAATGGGTCGAATGGTTGCTTCGACTGCGGTCGGGTCAACTCGCCTCGGTGTCGCCGGCTTTGCTGTCCGCGCCTCCAGACGATGGCGACTCCAGCGTGATTGTAACGGGCCCGTCGTTCTGAATCGAGACCTGCATGTAAGCCGCGAACACACCATCTGAAAAAGGAAACTCGGATAGTGAGGGTGCCGTTATTGGATGCACATCACTGCGGTGGGGGAGATGCATCGTATTTCTCATGACATTTACCACCAGCGAAGATGGCTACATCTAACAATGTTTCTGAATTGGTGCTCTCACTCGACCAAGTGCAGCCTGCCGTACACCGGGTCCTTTGGACGAATGTGCTCAACATGAGCTAAGTAATGAGCGTTTTGTTTGTCTCTAACGTAAGTGTTGGTAATTTCGCCCCAACCATCCCTAAGATATGTATGATCGAACCACCTCCTGGAAAATGACTGGACCTCCCGGCGGACACGGTGCAGACGGGCGGGATGGGGTCTTCGTCTGACCTTTGACCTTGTGCTGGCTGTAGTCGGCTCGGAGCTGGTCCACCAGCTGCTGGTAGAGCTGCCGCGCCTCCTCGCCGCCCATCGCGTGCCGGTAGTCGGGCTTGTTGCCCTTCAGCTGGCAGTAGAGTGTGAACTGGCTGACGCAGAGCAGCTCGAGGCCGGCGTCCCGCACGCCGCGCGCCCACCGCCGCCCCTCGGCGTCCTCGAACACGCGCAGACTCAGCAGCTTCCGGCTCCTGGGGGCGGAGCGAGGCGTCAGCAGTTGACTTAGAATAAATATTTCAGATTAAATTTAAACTGTTGATATTGATAATGATGTCATGATATCTACATTTATGCTTTTGGGCTATTTCAGGAAGGTGAGATAAATGCTGTTTGCTGTGAATATTCCATGCACAAATCTAAAGCAGCAAGTGAATGACAATTATGTTCCACAATAAATAGCTCATTATATTATTTGAAGATTCACAAAATGAGCCTTAAGACCGAGCTCCAGACAGCCACATAGATACTCACATATATTCAACATCTTTTGTTGTATCATGCTTGGATAGTCCAACTAGGACACATATTCCCTTGCCAATTTCACTGATCAGCTTCCCATCAACTGAAAAATAGGACATGGATGACAAAATGATTTTGGGTGTTAGATGCCAGTCTTGACTCAATAATCTACTGGCAATGGCAACCTTAACTTTGGCAGTATGGCTAGGGTTCCTAAAATCTTTCACCAGACGTAGTTGTTGGATGTTGGGTAGGTAAGGTACATTAAGCCTATAATGTTAGGTTAGGTACATTTGATGCCTTATGGTTCAGTTTTAAAGTGAGTTGGCATGCTATATAATTACTAAGTATGATAATCGAGGCAGAATGTTTATGAACACAGGTGCTTTAGCCACAAACCAGTGGTTTGGATTTACTGAGTTTGGGTTGGTTTATCTTACCTCAATGGGTTATTATCATATTTGTGGAACTACCTAGCATCTAATTTTGAATCAGGGCATGGAAAATATGGCCAACCTTATCTGCAGCATAATCAGAGTGAAAAAATCTACATTGTATGTCTATTGACCACGTAAGCCTGCAAACCCGCGCAAGGAACATACACATTGGTGACTTGGACTGTTCTGACTTCTGAGTGAACCCACTCATTTCTATAATAAAATGCATCTTAAATGTTATAATGAGATGAAACATTTCCCCTTTATTGTTATCATTATCTTTTCAAAAGGTTGACTGTTTGTATGAGTAAGGTAGGTAAACTGAAACACCTCCTAAAAAACTGGTATTAAAAAAACTCACCTGAAACGCTTGCATGGGCAACCCTCTGGACTACTACCTTCATGGTCGCTAAGAAATATGGTGCCTTCTTTTCCTTGCTAAAAATATTATATCTGAATGCGATAATATGTAGAAAATACGTGTTTCACTTTAGCTTGTGTATATCTACTATATATCTAGCCAATGAATGTTTGATATATTTACACTTGTGCTGCGCCGGAAACTGCCTGTCGCGCGTAGTATTTGACTCATTCTCTGTTTCTATTTTGCTGCCTTTTTGCGACACTGCCGGGTAGCAGCAAATGAAAGGCGGACGCCTCGAACTTTGAAGCCGTTTTATGGCTAGTTAGTAGTTACTAGTTAGACAAACAGATAAAATGTTTTTTTGTTTGCATGCACCTCCTTAAGGCCTGGCTACACTATGCGTTTTCTTCGTGCGTTTTTTGCGTGTTTGCGTGTTTTGCGTGATATCGTTCTAGAAAAAAGAACGATATTACGTTTTTGTGATGTTTTTCACCTTAATTTTAGTTACATAAGAGTTATATTAGATTTTGTATATAACCAAAGTAAAAATTATATTGTTTATAACTTTTTTCCTAGAACGATATTACGCAAAACACGCAAACTTGCAAAAACGCACGCAGAAAACGCATAGTGTAGCCAGGCCTTTAGGCTCATGCCTAGATGTCTGGTTCTAAAAAGAAGATGCCTGTGTCTGTAGTTTGCACCTACTTTCTATTTTTCCCGCCACGCCGCGACCATATTGCCCGACAGTGGGCTTCGACGAAGTAGGTTGCGAAGCTGCTAACTCGGTTGCAGTCAGTGAGGGTGAACCTAGTTGTGTGTTTTCGACGTTGCAGCTGGGACATGGGCGACCGAACCTACTGGTCTGCGCGTCCCACCACACTGTGGCTCCGACCTCCGCAGACGCAGTCCACACTGTGCTCCGACCTCCGCAGACACAGTCCGCACTCCAGTGTGCTGCCAATTGGCGCGTCCTGCCAGCGTGCTCCGCTCACATTCCAGCGTGATTTAGGTCGGCACGTCCTACTCCAGTGTGTTACCAGTTGCCACGTCTTACTTCAGCCAGATCCTCACTTCAGTGTGGTTCAGGTCGCTTCTTCCTACTTTACTTCAGTGTGTTTTCGTTCGACATGTCCTTCTACAGTGTGGTACCGGTCGGCACATCCAGTGTACTGCGTTCGAGGTCAGCACGTCCAGTGGAACTTATTCGAGGTCGGCTCCAGTGTGGTCTGTGCTCCAGTGTGTTGCCAGTCGGCACTCGACTCTTGGGATCTGAAGTCTGAACGCAAAACAGGTGGACACTATTATGTTTATAGATCTTATATTATAAACTGGAATGACATGTGACAATTGACATTTGATGCTGACCTATCACCATTTTCACATGATTGCCAGTCAACTATTCAAAACTGTCCACTATCTGACATCCTGACGCATGCTCAAATGCATGTACTGTATATAACAGTGCTTGTTAATGCTTAACATTTTACACTTACATATGTCACACAATTATTTGCTTACGCGGGATGTGCTACATGGTTTATTATTATAAAACGCAAAATCAGCGTTATGCGTTACGACTTACGATATACAGATCCAAACCGAACATGCCACAACTATGACCGTGTTCCATCGTCCACTCCATCGTCCTTTATGTCTATATTTACAACACGCGAGTTTCCAAACAAAAATCACCTCTCGATAACAGTCGTAAAAATCACAGGGCTGCGAGAGACGCGACGTCACCCTTTCTGTAGGTAACCCACGGCGCGGTATCCCGGGGCTCCTGTAAGCACCACACAGTTCCGCACGGCTCCTGCGCGACAGAGGCTCAGAAGGCGTTCAATGACCCCTCTCATAACAATAACCTCTCTTCCCGTGGTGAAACGTAGTTTGAACCGATCTTAATGGAAGAGGGACACATTTTGTCTCACTGGCTTAGGGAGGTCAGCATATTGCTTCACTGGCAGAAGACCAGCATACTGGTCGCAGACGAAGACCAGTCTATCGTTTTACTGCACAGAAGGCGAAGGCACTGACACTGACTCGAACACTGACTACTATGTAGGACACGAAGACCTGCTCAGTGCTCATCGTCTCACTGGCAGAGGAAGACGAGCATCTCGACCTCCTGTAGCGTGTCCCGCCAGCCGACCTGACACATGTAGAGGCCGGTGTCGGCCGCCGTCACCGCCGTCACCGTCAGACGCTGGTGCGACGCCGCCACCTGTCAACGCATACGGGCTGTCAACGAAACCTTCAGTAGCCGAGCATCCTGTCAGTATATACTGCCCGTCAGAAGAACCTTCCGCGGCATCCTATCAGCACATACGGGCTGTCGAGGAAACCCTCAGCGGTATCCTATCAGCATATACAGGCTGTCGATGAAGCTTTGGAGAGCGGCATCCGAGCCTAGAAACACAGCATGTGCAATGGGCACAGCAGCTGGACTGTCATTCAGGGGAGCAAAGAGACTGAAAAAAATATGGCACGTGATGGAAACTTTGGTGGTTGACTGCCGACTGGTTGATCGGTTTGCTAAATGATTGGTCGGTCATTCGGTCGTTTTGGCCAACCGGCTGGTTGAATTACCGAAGCATAAAATTATCCTTCCTTGTCATGGACCAAATTATCGAAGCATAAAATTATCCTTCCTTGTCATGGACCAAAAAGAGCTCTCAGTCTGTAGGTCTAGCGACCAGCGAGTGACGGAAGCTTATTTATTTATTTATTTATTTCACATCATAGACCCATTCCACACAAGCGTGGCTATTCTAGGATCAGGGTCACAATTAAAAAATAAGGATAGTTGGTCACACACATCGTACACGAATTCATTCTCACAAACGCACACCCAATCAAACTTCCCGCGAGCGGGTCGTCACTAGCCGGCATCGGTCTGTTGCTGGAGCAAATACCTCCGCAGCTCTCTTTTAAATGGGCTCAGGCCTAGGTCGCGAATCGTTTGTGGTAAGTCATTAAAAGCGGTCACGGCTGAGTATAAAAAGCGTCTCCTACCGGATTCTGATCTAATGATAGGCACATTCAGCAGCTCGTTCTGTCGCGTGTCGCGCTGATGAACATGTCGTCGAAGCGTGAGGCTGGCGGATAACGTCTCGGGCTGAGAGGTAGACAGAATGCGCTTTAACAATGTCAGCGTGTGAAAAACATGTAAATTGCGCGCCGAAAGCCACTGCAGTTCATGAAGGATGTCACTCACATGATCAAATTTTCGACGCCCGGAGATGACGCGTGCTGCGAAATTCAACACTTTCTGTAGCCGACCAGTTTGTGTGGTGTTACAGGTTCCGTAGACACTAAGCCAGTAGCGAATAAGTGATACGACTAGAGATTGGACTAGAGTTGTGAGCGTCGCAGAAGGTAAACTATGACGGCAGTGACTCAAACCGATTAAAATGCCTGTGCAGCGCCGAACCACATCGTCAATGTGCGCGGTAAAAGTCATAAATTGGTCGAATACGACACCCAGGTTCCGCACCATGAGAGAACCGGAGACAGTCGTGCCCATGAACTTGATAGAAATGGTTGGTACCTGTCGAAGATTTTGTCGAGTGCCGAGAGCTATGAGCTGTGTTTTTTTAGCGTTGATTTTCATGCCATTTTTGCCAAACCAGTGAGCAAGTTGCGAAAGACTACGTTCCATGGAGCTAACAAGGGCACCAATGTCTCCGGGCCTGCCACCCACGAGAACCTGAGTGTCGTCCGCGTACTGCACTATGCACGCGTCATCAGCATACAGCGGCAAGTCGTTGGCGTAGATGCTGTACAACAGCGGACCGAGCGCTGACCCCTGGTAAGTTCCGATCGGGTTCGGCAGAGGCGACGACAGATCACATGAGCCTCGCTGGCTCCTAGCTACTACTTGCTGGTAGTGGTCCGCCAGGTAGCTCTTAAACCAGCGAGTGTCTACATTGTACAGCTCCAATTTTCTCAGAAGTCCATCATGAGGTACAACATCAAAGCACTTTGATAGATCTAAAAGGCACAGAAGGGTGATCTCTTTCCGGTCCATGGCCTCAAACACTCTGTCAGTTACAGCGAGTAACGCTGTGTCGGTCGAGTGGTTCAATCTAAAACCGTGTTGACTAGAGGAGAAAAGGTGATGGGTTGTAAAGTACGTAAAAAGCTGTTCATAAACGACACGTTCGGTTATTTTGGCGATGGTTGGTAGGATTGATATGGGACGGAAATTGGATAGGTCAGTGGATTTGGACGACTTCTGGATAGGATGGACTAGGGCTAGTTTCCATGATGTTGGGACGGTGTGGGAGTTGATGCTGGTGTTGACAATGTGGGTGATGACAGGGCAGATGGAGTCGAAACACTGTTTGATGAACCGCACACACAGTCCGTCCGCCCCGCACGACGTGCTGCTCGCCATCCGGCCGATAACGCGCCGCAGCTGCTCCGGTGTAACAGGCGCTACCTGGAACCGGCCGGTGCTGACACGGGGCAGGCGCACTGCCAGCCGCGGGCCACCAGAGTCCACCTGTCGGGCGGTGGAGGTACCGACACTGGCGAAGTATTGGTTTATCGCGTCCACGTCCGCGTCCGGTAGTGGTCGGGTCGGCCGTTTTCCCGATATAACCGGCCGCACATTGCGCCACATGGAGCTCGGTCCGCCCTCACTTATACGCCGGCCGATCTCCTCGCGCGTGTCACGGCGGACAGCCGACCTGACCTGTCGGTTTAAGTCCTTATAACGATCCCGGTCACCGGCTCGGAGCGCCGCGCGCCGCTGTGACATCAGACCTTTTGTGTTCTCTGTCACCGGGGGCGCCGTCGGATTGCGCACTTTGACCCTCCGAATGGGGGCTAGGCTGTTCACAATGGGCACCGTCACGGTCGTAAAATAGTCCCACTGCTCACCGGGGTCGGCAGTGTGGAACACAGGGCTCCAAGTCCAGTCCACGTCACTGAGGCGGCGGTTCGCCTCCGTCGTGTCCAGTCTGCGCCAGCACCGCCCCGTCACCGCACACTGGGCCGGGCGGCGGCCGGGGACCAGTACCAGAGCACGAGTCCAGTTGTGGGGACTGAAGTGGCAGTGCAGCGTGCCGGCCCGCTCTACACCCCGATTCGTGGCAATCACATCGATGGTGGAGCCTGATGACCTGAATGTAGCGTCTTTGATGTGCTGCTGAATGGTGTAAGCAGCAAACAGCTCCTGAAGTCTTGTAGCCGGCCGTCCTCTGCTTGTGCCCCGGACGGGACTCGAGCCCGGATGATTGGCTATGGAATATAAGAAAGCATTTCAGCGGAGCTGGACCGCTCCTTATTAGTACCCAGGTCAGTCGTTCTGCGCCTCTGCGACACGCGGGCCGGGACAGTGTGCAGTTTTTGTCGCAGAGATTGGGTGGCGACTCGCGAGATACGCAGTCCGACGGTCGGCGTAGGCGATAGTCGACTGGACGGCTCCGCTATACATAGAGAGGCGGCAGGTCGGGCGGCCAAAATTTGTCCGATGGGTCTCGGCACCCGAGTGCGGCTCACCAGGTATTTGCCGACCATTTCAGACTCGGTAGCGCAGTTGCACGAATCTGCTACTGATCTTTTCTTCCATGGGGTTTACGATTTTCCAAGGCCGCCGTCTGAAGTTGTACTTCGTATTTCGCAGAAAACGACAGTGGACCGTGATTGTTTTGTGTTTGGTGGCGCTGTTTTGCATCTGCGTGTTTCTGGATCCAGGTATGTACGCTTCAACTCAAGCTAGAAAATTACTTATGATGCTATTTTCTTACAGTTTAACCTATTTAGGATCATGCACCTTTAAATATTTCAAAATTTCTTATTTCAATGCAAAGTTTTTATCATATTCTACAAAAAAAAATCCCACCGTGCGAGTATGCGTGTTCAGCAATAGGACACCATATCAGTGGGGTGATGCAATTGTAGCATTGCCCCAGTCACCGACTGTATGTGGCCTGTTTCAGGGTCACGGCCGTCCTCTGGCCTCGGCTCACAGTGCGACAGCCCGCTGTTGATCAGTGAGGCCGTTCTGCCGTGGGATGCTGCCGCCGGCCGCTGTCTCCGTCCTGAGCCGCTGGCCGGGCGCCTGCTGCGTGCCGGCCGCGCGCTGGGCCGCCCTCCCTCCGTGACATTCGTGGGCGACTCTCGGGCGCGCGAGCTGTTCGTGAGAGCGGTGCACGCCAGCGGCCGGCCTCAGGCGGCGCTGCCACCGCGCCGGCCCGAGCCCGACACGTGCCTGGAGCCGTCCAGCAGCCCCGAGTACCAGTGTCGACACGGCATGTGCTCTCAGCGGGTCGTCGGCAGCGTGCTGACCTCGCGGCTCGAGTGGCGGCCGCAGATGAACGACTACATGGCTGCCGTGCTGGACGGTGTGGCGGCGGACTGCGGCTCACGGATGCGGCGGGAGGACTGTCCGGACACCGTGGTGGTCAACAGCGGCCTCTGGTACTCGTTCCGAGTGGAGGTGTACAGCGGAAACCGCCGCGAGCGGCTGGTGGCGCTGTTCAGAGCCGGCCTACTCCGGCTGCTGCCCAGCCTGCAGCGGCTCGCCCGGAGCACACACACCGTCTGGAAACTGGAGGAGGCCATGTTCTCCGAGTTTGTCAAGGACAAGTACTATCCGGAGAATGCCAAAACGGAAATAAACGGGCTTATTATCGTGCAGCAGGCCGTCCTGTATGACGTCACCGCACATGTAAGTAGCTGACATAAGCTGACGCACTGAATAGCCTTCATACGAACATGTCATTTTTAAACGACCTAATCGGTTCTCTGCAACTCAAATAAGTAGCGAATGTCGTGTGACCCCCAACACGCGTAATTTGTGGTTGCAGAGTGCACAAGCTCTTACTCTAATTCATGACTTGATGGCGCCGATTAGCTAAGAGTGCTTGCTTTGCATGTATCGCCATTTATTGCTACAGTCGGACTAAACCTTCCTCTGTCCCTATGTGTCACCCCCAGATTCCGGAGCTGACCGTCTGGTCGTCGCTGCTTCCGGAGACCACGCGGCACATGTTCCGCGTGTGCGCGCGAAGTCGGCCTCTCAGCTGGGTGGAGTGCCCGGACGCCATCCACATGGGACGCTCGCTGCAGGACTCGTTCCTAGAGCGGATACTGGGCGGCCTGTGTGACCGGGCGCTGGGCGTGGCGCGGTAGACGCGGGTCGCTAGGATGATTTGTTAACACTACGTCATTTGACCTGACCCAATAGACAATGGATGTGCTGTTAGAGTCTGAAGACTTCTGCAAGAGACAATAAATGCACAAAACATTGTTTTTATTGATGCGAACACGAGTTTGGTCGTTGTTACAAATGTATGGGCTTCCACAGTGGTTCTGAAAGCGTCTCTGAGTTTATATACGGTTATAATGCTGAACTGCTCGTTCACGAATGGGTGTAAAGAGACTTTACGACCATTATGGATGTTTGTCACTTTGACTCCCAACGATGGTACCTATTTATCAATGTGATTTATTTGCGATGTTCATTGCTCAACTAATGTGCGAACTTACCTATGCGTTATAATATCAATCCTATACATGAGCCATTCGCTTTCTTTGCTGAACTGAATGTAAATATTTTCATCCCGCTCGGGAAAAAGGTCGTGCTATAATGAAGGGCAATGCTGCACATTAATTGTTGTGTGCTGGTGATTGCCTTGAAGCCTCGAGACTTGTCATGGACCTGTCACTGCTCCATGTGCAATCAGCTGGTAGCTGAAAGATAATTAAATATGTCTTATAACAGCTGTGAGCTGATACCAAGAAAGATTGTCTTATCTCTCCCTTTCCTTTTCTATTCCCTCCCTAATCTCCCTCCCTTCCCTTCGTCCCTTCCAGTTCCCACCTCTCCCCGTCCCGCCGCCCTCCTCCCACCTGTTGGACGCTGGTGTTGTTGGCCGAGTACAGGCTGACCCCTCCCACGGCCAGCAGGTCGTCCTTCACCGCGTTGTGGTCGTCGTCAAAGTGGCGCCGCACCCACCAGAACCGCTGGAAAAACAAGGCAGAGTCGCTGTGTCAGCTTGCACTCGCCCGATGAGTGTTGATGCAATGTCCCTGCAATGTCTCACGGCAAATGCTCTACTTTTTTTCAAACCGTTAGTGTCCCAGTCTCGGTGAAGGTTAGGAGAGTCTCAAGTCTGGTCATTGGTAGACATTCGAAGACATTTGATCACAAATATCTGTTCGACACTAGAGAGTGGACAGTTCTTCGAAGTTGATGAACTTTGGCAGCAGCCGTGCTATGTAGGTATAACAAACAGGTTTTTATTTAATGCTGCTGGTTTACACGTTTTAAGATATTAGTGAACCAGAAGGCGACACTAGGCACACGGATGACTGACTGCCATCCAGCCGGCATCGTATGCTGTATGACATCACCCGTCAGCTGACCGCGGGCTGAGTGTGTTTGGAGAAAGTTATATCGCAGTCGGTGCTCAGCAGTCAACTCATGTCTCATTCACGCAACAATCTCGTGCCTCCTTCACAAGACCTGAAATCCACGCTGGCTGCATCACTTCGCTGCATGTCGTTTCGCCTCATTTGTGTCAAGCTGTCACTCAATGTAGGTTTACGCTGTTTACAAACGTTTGCGTAACATTCTGAGCTCACCGTGCATCACTGATCAAATGCAACCGCGGCGCTGCGGTCCTTGGCCGAGTGGCCAGCTACTGGTGACGTCACGGGTCAGTGAAAGGAGTCGCGCGCACGGCAGGGAGGAGCCGGCGGGTCCCCGGCCCAGCTGAGGACGGGCCACTGTCTGTGCTCCATCTCCGCGTCACTGTGGGGGACGGGGCGCACCTTCCACCCACAACACACTGCCCGGGGCTCGGGAGTAACGCGTAAACAGGATATCGGCTGGGTTTGTGGGACAGGAATAGGATCTTGGGAAAGACATCCTGTCATTGACCGTCTCTCCCGATGGATGTTACGAAATACGCCCACTGATCCGAGTCATGGGGTGCGGCGATCGTCAACTGGGGCTGCCGCATCTGGCGCAGCTACTATACCTATTCGGCCGTTAAGTCGCCAAATCATGGTCAACTATGCCAATTCAAGCTGTGCACGGTGCAAATTACAAACTCGTTTCGTGTTTCTCTTATTGCCACAAGTTTTTTTGTGATGTTTAATGAATTTAACGTTGTTGGATGGTGGTTTGGTTTGGGTTGATTCCACTTTTTTATACAAGGCACTCGACTGTCGAGTATTCAGCCTGCCATGAAGAGATATTGGAACAAGTATGGCATACCTACTCATGCTTACGTGTCTGCATGTGAAACCAGTTTTTCAGCTTTCAGTTTCACTGATCGTACTGCAGGATTGATATGCCACTGTCGTATAGGACCCAGTAACTGAGTCGAGAACGAGAAACTGGGCCCTTTTCACCCCCGTTTGCGCTCCGTGCCTTACAATGAAAAGCTCAATTCAGCGGTTTAGCGTCCGGTGAGTTCTGCGGGGTGCATGTCTCATCTGTGGACTTTACTAGTTACCTTGATCTGGTCGTGTTGCGGCGGGTTTTTGACGCGACACTCGAGAGTGACGCTCCCTCCGAGCTCCGGACAGTTGTGCATCTCGCCAACCAGCTGCGGTGGTCCCGCCTCCTCGTCTGTGGACAGTGATAATAAGGAACGTCATTTGCAGTAAACCAGTCGCCTGCAATAATGCTGAAACAGCTATATGAGGGGATAAGCATAAGCATTAAAAGGTTAAATTTAGATTCGATGTTAAATATAAGTAGGACATTTAACTGCAGAAGTGACAAATGACCTTCACTGCTGACAAAATTCGAGGACTTTCCTCATCTTGGCTTTTGAAATGCCTTCATGAACATGTGCTGAGTGCTCGCTATTTAGTGCGCTCGCCACTCACCTTCGGTGCTGTTTTCTGTGCGAAAGCTGGCCGTGCGCTCGGTAAGAATTTCAGCCCTGGTGTGTTTGCTTTTGGGCGCTGGCTTCCTGTCCTCTTCCTTCTCCACCAAGGCATTCGATCGATCGCCGTTATTCTCGTCATCTTCTGACACTTCTTCAGTCTGGTCGCTGGTCTCCTCATCTAACATCACCAACTCTTGCAACGCGTCTTCGTTATCCTCCAGGACAGCCAATTCTTCGTGGCGCTCGCTCCCAGCGGCGTTCAGATCTTCCGATGCTTCAAGAGCAGCGGTGTCGACAAACACTGGCTCTGCGACATCGTCCCGTCGCTGCCAGCCACTCCTGGGCGCGTCCTGCCACCGGTACCGTCTCCCGCTGTCGGCACCGTCAGCGCCTCCCCTGGGTGTCGCGTTGGACACCCTCCTACCCCAGGTACCCTGTCGGCTGACCCGAGAGCTCAGCTCGGTCAGACGCGCCGCTAGTGAGTCGACTCTTGGTGTGACAGTGGGCTGCTCCGGTTGGTCGTCCTCTGCGACCGGTGGGACGTCCTCTAACTCCTCTGGCGGGGATGTGGTGTCCGTGCTGGCGATGCTGCTGGAACTGGAGGCCCGTGGAGTCACCAGCCGGTCGAAGACTTCCTTCTCTGACAGTATCGGCACGATGTTGCTCGCCAAAACCTGCTCCCGTGCGTCGTCACTCGTGGCTGATGTTTCCCACCCTTCCTCTTCGTCAGGCTGGATGTCAGGTTCGGTGTTGTCAGCCTCAAGAGTAGGCCCAGGATTAGACTCTGCTCTGTATTGGCGCCTTTCGTCAAACGCCTGTGACAGCTCCTCCCCACCGACCAGCTCCACGGCGACGTCGTTGTCCGACCTAGCTGGCGCGAAGAACACACCACTCTCGTCCTCCGCCTCCTGTTCTGTGTCGCTGACCAGCCTGAGCTGCGCGACCCGCACCCTACCGACGGGCCGCAGGACGCCCTGGGTCACCAGCAGGTTCAGCAGGTTCTGGTCGGAGCGCAGCGGGCCGCTGGCCACGGCAACTGTGGCCGGGCGGGTGCGGGCCGGGTCTCGGTCGGACGGAGGTCGGTCGAAGGACCCCTCTGGCTCCGGACGGTCCACAGAGGTCGAGTCGAACACTGACGCTGAGCTCTGCAGATCTGGTCGCCGAGGAAGCTGATCCTCTCCGTCCGTCGGACTGAGTTCCTCTTCGTTGTTGCTGAAGTCGTCCGCAGTTGCCGCTGCGAATACCACTCCTTCGGGAATCAGACCGGAGATAAACGCCGGCTTGTTGATGTCAAAGGCTTCGTCTAAGGTGATAACGTCATCTGGATTGGGATTGGAAAAACCGTCGGGAGTTTGGTGTCTGAAGTCGTCATTCGCTGGGTCCGGCTGACGGTTTCCGAAGGAAACAAATGTCTCTGGGTTCTGCAGGTCGACAATTGAGTTGACGCCTCTAGGCTCTGGCGTGTCGACAGGTACATTCGTGGGACCTTCAGGATCCTTGGGGTCAACGGCCAGGATGATCGGCAATGGTGACAGACTCTGCAGGTTCTCAGAGCTCTGCTGATGTTCCGCGTCATTGACCCGCACCGGTCGAGGAGCACTGGTCTGCTCATTGTCAGACAGGTCTCTGATATCCAGCGGTCCCAGAATATCCACTGGTCCCAGCGGCTGCAGATCTGCCGGCTCTCCGTCCCCCAGCGGCGGGACCTGGTCACCGCCCGGCTGCTGGGGTGGCAGCCGCTCCAGGTCGCTGTACTTCTGCCCGATCCGGACTCCGGCCGCCCGCAGCTCGGGCGCCCCGTCGTCCTGTCCGTCGAGCCGGCGCGCCTGTCGTAGCGTGTGCAGACTCTGCCACAGGGCCGGCGGAGCGGGGCCGATCGACGGGCCGGGGAAGTAGATCCGTCCCGCGCGGCAGGCGGACAGCATCACCACCGTCACCGCCGCCAGCAGCGGCGCTGCCCCGAGTCGGGTCATGGTGTGCGTGGGCCGGCTGACCGGGCGGACAGCGGGTGGTGGACGGGCGGACGGAGGGCGGACAGCGGGCGGTGGACGGACGGAGGGCGGACAGCGGGCGGCGGGCGACTTTCCACTGCGGCCGCCGCTCCTCGGGCCGAGGTCCGGCCGGTCTCCAAACCGGGGGCGAAACTGGCGCCGCTGACCGGGGCGGACGGCCTCGGTGACGGAATCCCTGCAGTCGCCCACCTGAGAAAAGGCACGGGCTGGTCAGGAGCCGCACTAGCCCTGATGAGATACAGGGAAAGCGGGTTCTTGTCGTGTCTAATGTGCATAAAACAGGCATGGGATGATGCACAAATAGACGGTCTTGCAAGTTGCAACAGAGGATTACGAAACGTCAGCAATCCGGTCGAACCTGATCATAACAATATGGATGCTACCATACTGTTTGGATTAAGCGGAGTGATCCCTCCCACATTAGTGACACAGGTGCATTTCGCTAACACATTCCGTAAATCATTCAATTTATTCGATCGCCTCGATTGCGGTACGGTGCTATAGCAACATTGCCCGATTTTTTTACAACCAAATAAGTCATGCATATAAAGGTGCGTTAAAATATGATTTTTGTCAAAAGGAAAGAAATTTCTGTGTGGAAATTACCCATGGCTTTTGCTAAAATATGTAGGCAACGGCCTAGGAAAGAAGTGATTTTATTAATGATGAGCTGTGCTTTTTAATTAAGGGCATCAGCGATAAACTGTGCCTCTTAATAAAAGGTACCAGTGTGCCTTTTTCACATCTTGGTGTACTAAGCCATATAATATAATTATATACCTCGATTATATGTATAATTATATATGTAATAATAATTATATGCAATATAATTATGCATATAATTGAGGCTACTAGCATTACCTAATAATTCGTGCAACGAATTATATTGAGGAGGTCTTGGAGCATGGAGTGATGGAGGGCTTCAGATCAAGGAGTCAGTCACCCTACCTATAGCTACTTGACAACTGAACCGTATAAATAAAAGACGGTCTTCAGACGTCGTTCAACTCTGATTCAACTCACCGTATGGCTTCTTTCGTGTCTCGCTGTCGCTAACGTCGCTCAGTCTCTCCACACGTTGTCGCGTGTCTCTGCACCGGTACTGGGTACGTTTAGACAAACACAGTGCACGGAGAGACGCATACAAAGACGGTCCTCGAGTGAACGGCTGGAGACGGTCCTGTCTCGCCGGCCGCCGGTCTCCGTTGCTCCGCTGCCACTGCCGCCGTCTGCCCGTCCCCGGCCGCTGCCTCTCCCGTCCCCCGGCCACTTTCTCGCTCGGCGTGCTCGGGCGTAGGCGGCCGTGGCCGGACGTAGGCGGCCGTGGGCCGATCGGGGTGCGGATCGGATCGGACAGACGCCCGAAGGAGTCGCCGCCAACCGGATATGATCGGTAACAGTCGCGCCAATGAGAGCACGAGATAATGTTTTGTTCTCGTTTCACTTCTCGGGTTGTCGAACGGAGTTCTTCTAGATGCAGCCAGGCGTTGGTACTTGGTGAGGTAGGCGTCATAATTAATACGAGTGAGAGGGGAAAGAGAGTCGAGAGAGAAAAAGGTGGAAGGTGAAACTGGTGCAGGAGCAGCACGGTTTGGCACATGTTCAAAAAGTTCGTCGCCGTGGGGAGAGCTGTTTTTATCAACCGATGCGCAATCAATTTCCCCTATTCCACTTATTCGTATTTTGAGGTCAATTGAAAAAACTCGACGATCAGGCGATTTAACATTAACAAGCACAGTTCATCAAATCAATGAATGTTTTATTTGTTAAATTTTTATATTGCACCGTCCACGTATGTCTCTCTGCTTTATGCGTATCGGGTACCAAAGCGTATCGCATAGCAAAAAAAGTGCTTAAAAAGAGTTGTAAGCCGTAAACGACTGAAACCTTTTCAGTTTTTGGCCTTGTGAGACTAGATGCAATGGGATAAGTCATACGTCTAAAACCTGTGCTTAGCTGGGAAGGATGGTCAGATAATATATATCTATAGTCTGTTTTTCGTATCTTCTACCTTCACTCAAAGATGTTTTGCCCCTCCAGCACGTTTTTAGGGTATAGTTTTCAAATATTGACCGCATGGCCCACCACTCATTGCAAGAGTTTGTTGCTCGTGTTGGAGTTCGCCTTCGCTGCGCAGATAAAATCGGAAAAGAAACCTTTAAGCTAGAGTATCGCTTGTATTATCGTTATTCGTTACCACGGCTTATTGGTACTGACTACCGACCTGACTACAAGGACGTTTTGCTGTTCATAGGTACTTGCATTGTGCGAAGCGCTCTTGCTAAGAACATTTAAAGAAAAGTTTAAAGCTTGCACTTCCTTTTCATTGGGTAAAAGAAGTTAAATGTGTTTTATGTTCTGCCATATTTTTTTTCAAATGCTTTATTTATGTTTTGCTTTATTTATGTTGCGATAACTTTTACACCGACGAATAACAAAATTGTCTTAGCCCACGCCCGCTTGGGGGTCCCCAGGCAGATTTGCTTCATCTTACAGTTTTCCTATCTGCCTCACGCGATCATCCCGAAAAGTAAGAAAGATGCGAAGACGCGGGGAAGAATCGATAGCTCTCTCAACAATTACTTTCAGCAGTATACGTATATAGTATATACCGCATTTTGCTGAGGTCAATAGTGATGGCCACTGAAGGTCATAAATTTAAAAAACTCCCGAGTTCAACATGTTTGGACAAATCTGGCCAAACCTTGTCAACCGATTGAATTACAGCGCCGTCGAAACATTTTTTGTTCTAGCAGCTATTAGGGGTATTGTCGAAAGCTGCTGGTGATCTTTATCATCTGACATGACTTTTTGACCACTGGCAATCACCAACGCCTTAGGGCTTATATTATGATACACAAATGCAGGTAATAACAATAACACCCACGTATGCATTTTTCGTATTATATTGCGCTGAAAGCATGGCGGAGTTGAACTGTGCCACCACCGTCGGTGTTTCTCCGCGCCTTCAACACTTTTCTTTCTGGTATCCAAGGAAGTAAGTTCGTTATTCTGGCGATATTCATTGGTTGTGCTCCTTCTTTACCGCCTTATTTCAGTCACCTAACCCACATTTCTTTTGCTTTGAAACGTTGAATGAAAACGTTACGATCATTTTGTCTTGTCTGAGACCAAGGCCATTGCCCTTCTGTTGTTTGAAAACTTAATGAAATTAGAAAGGGATAATTTTGCCTGAATGAAAATATGATGACACGTTTTATGCAAATGCATTTCACCTGACAAAGAACATTGCATTTTGATTAACGAGATAGGCCAAGGGGACAGACGTTCGATCTTGCGTTCGTGATAAAATTGACTTTGCAGCGGTGTTGATTTAATTAGATGTTCGCTGGTCGCTGGAGCACGTGATTAGAGAGTTTACCGTCTTTGAGTGAAGGTAGAAGATACGAAAAACAGACTATAATCGGACCGCCTCCTCGATATACCAGGTATTATTCGGTGTGCCTAGCCAAGGGCGTTTTAAATAATGCCCGAACGGAGTGAGGGCATTATTTTTTTTTTTAAATATTAACCGAACGAAGTAAGGTTAATATTTTCAAAAATAACACGAATGAAATGAGTGTTATTTTTGTATTTAATGCACGAGCCTGCGAGTGCATTAAATATAAAAACTCTTGGCAAGGCACACCGAATAATGCGTGGTGTACCGAGGAGGCGGTCCGATTACATTTATTATAACGACTTTGCGCCGTTCGTTGCTCAGCTCGTCTGTTTAAAAGGGCTACATAGAGGGATTGGGAAAAGAAACGGGGCTTGGTTTTGTTTTCGGGGAACATTTGTTAATAACGAAGTGTGTACTAATTAATCAAATTAATAGCGCCAATTAGGAAATGCAATAGGTAGTGGAATAAGTGGACTGTGCAATGTCTCGGTCAGTCTCTTATATTCATATGCAGGCCCTCTTGCAGCACTTGTAAAGAACTTATGCACCCAGGGCCGCCTTCTGTGAGAACCTTATACTGAAAACGCGTATTTACAAGCTCTGATCTATTCCATCATCTCTGTATCATGTGTGCCTGGGTATACCTATCAGACACTTGGCCTGCGCTGCTCCTATCACGATAAGTGGCTACAGCCCATTCTGGGTCTTCCTTGTGTTGGTTGGAACACCTTCTGCTTCTCTGTTCGCCAGCTCATGGGAGAGCAAACTGCAGTTTTTTTCTCGCTGTCTGTACCATTCGTATGCGTTTTCTGCATTATAAGCATCACCTTTGAGTGATCGGACAAAGCAGTGGGCCTATCAGATTAAAAAAAAAAATAATAAGAAGGCGTCTCAAAGCTCTCTCTGAATTTGATTTATCTTTCTAGTTGAGGTTTATTTGCCATTGGGTCTACAGTGCATGGATATTTCTATCTCGCACTCCTCCGAGATGCAAAGATAAGAATTTGCTATCTCTGCATCTCTCTGAGATGCAAAGATAAGGTCTCGAGGGTTCATAGCCAAAAATCAAGAGTTCAACTGAAGATGGGTCAATAACCGAACGGCATTTTTAATGGCTAGTATGAAACTTATGAAATAAAAACAAACTACTCTAAAAAATTTTTTACATAGGTGAATACATTTAAATATAATATTTAATTAATTAAGAATAAACCTCAACATAGAAAGATATAGGATTCCTCATGGCTCACTCGTGGAAGATCGGATATCTTTTCCTCGCGTGTTACAGAAAAACCTCGCTCCTTCGTCGCTCGGTTTTTCAGTAACCCGCTTGGAAAAGATATCCTTATCTTCCACTCGGAGCCATGAAGAATCCTCTATATCTCTGTGTTGCCTTCGGTGCACTTAACATTCAATCTCAATGCAGGCCAATGGCCAATATTCTTTTTTTCAGCGAGGCTTGAAACCATTCTTGTGAAACCATTCGGGCTCCACCACGGAAAGAAAAAGTCTGATTAACAATATTATTCCCGGGATTAATTTCTGTTATACCGACGTTTTACTTAAAAAACTGAAATCACGCGCGCGTTTAGAGACAGCCCTACGATGCTGCAAAAAATACTTGTGCTATCAAGATTTAACCATACTTTTTTAACATGCGTGAACGGCGCAAAGTCGTTATAAGGTCAATTAGATATAGTCCTTACAGAACTCATGAAGTGGTTCACTGCAAGTAATTTACAGTTAAATACGATATAAATAGTTCTATTAGATTCTCTGTTGATAGTCTTTGTTTGGTTTCCTGTCTCCTGACGCTCAAAGTGGTGGAGTTTGAGGTCTCCAGGGCGGTGACGGGTCGGCCCATCTGACCCTGCAGAAGGCAGACTGCAGAGGGCAGCAGCACGGTGCCAACAGATGTCACGACTGATGATGGTTGAACCGAGCAGGCTCACAGAATACGCTAGTCGATAACCCAATGAACCAGGTGCGCGCCGTCCATCTGTTTCAGTCCTCTGGGGACTTATAGCTAGTCCAAGTTAACCCTCGCCGGCCGAGAGGGGAGGGATGCCGCCCTTCCCCCATAGGTGTTTTCGCGATAGCTCCGAACACGCCGGCGATAGAGAGCTAAAACTTGGCATACCTGACTTTTGATCCAAGCCGCATCTTGTGACACCAACCGCATTTTCAGGTTAGGTCAGGTCACTGACCTATGACGTCATAAGTGAACCTCTGCACGGTCTTCATATGTCGTAAATCGCGGCGCCCTCAGTGCCAGAGAAGCTTTCAGAGGGAAATGAACTTGGATGATGTAGTACCTATCATCCAGAGGTCTCACAACTTGTATATTTCGGATTTTTCCTAAAGGTCACATTAGGTCAAGTCGGTCACGTGACCTCACCATTATAAGTCAATATGGGGGAAAATGAAAACAGCTATTTTAGCGCCGGGAACGACCTAATACTATCTCAAATACATGAAATCGTATTTCTCACACTCCTTGCAAGGTCTGAAGCTTCACCTTTGCATTGCTGACCTTAGGCTTACACAACTTAATGACGTCACTTGGTTATAAGAGTTTTTCGTCAATAACTCCCGATCAACTTGAGCTAGCTAGTCGGGAAAGCCACCATAGGACTCAGGAAAACCTGCAGAATCGAATGATATGCATAATGACCTTCTTCGACCAAGTTCGTGACCTGGGGGGCGCTGACCTTGCCTTGACCCGGGACCAACGCCTCAAGTTGACCTCACCCGAACAAAAAATATCCCTTTCGACGCGCCTTAGCGAGGTGAACACGACGCTGCCCAAATTGTGGCTTTGCGACCGTTTTTTGCGAAGTTATAAATGAAAAACTGAACCCGTACCCTGGGTCACTTGACCTGACCTCAGAGGTCATCGGTTGACCTGAGGCCCTTAAATCGGGTACCAGTCGCTGCGTCTTGTACAGGGCACAAGCTCGTTTTTGCGATGCTGAAGCTTAATCAGGGGCGAAACGGCGAGGGGGTAGGTCGTACCAACCTCTTCCCCCTCGGCCGTCGCGTATGTAGAAATCGAATAGGTCCGGCGAGGGTTAACTCATTCAGATGCCATTTCGGTCAACACATGTTCCCAAAACATGACATTAAACATTTTAGTTTACCTGTCCCGAAAAAAATTAAGCCATCGATTTATTGAAGATTCCAAGGAGGTTTATCAATAATCACGATCCGTTCAGTGTTGTCGTAAGCTAGCAGAAGCTGCCACGGATGTCACCGTAATTTGACCGCATCTCCGTCTGATGTATGTATGTATTTGTGATCGGATGGGTGACATCAGTAAGGGGCCAGCAGAGGCGGCAGTGCTCAGTCGGCCATCTGTCTGACGGGGCCAGGGTGAGGGGGCGGGTGTCCGGCCGGGCAGGGTGAGGGGGCGGGTGTCAGGCCGGGCAGGGTGCCAGGGCGCCGCGCGTCTCCTCCTCTGCTCAGTCCGCCGCGTGAGGGAGCTCCGGGCGGGGGGCCGGCTCTGATCAGTTTCACCGGCCGCCCACTGAGACCCCGCTCTGTGGGAAAATGATCTCCGGGATCAGCAGCGGTGTCCTCAGGCAGGTACGTAATTATCAGTAACATCATCTTTATTTCTAGTGGTGTGATACCAGTATAGCGCCTTTTGGGGCGACTAACGGAGCGAGCGAGGGGGTGAGTCTTGCACGTGCGAAATTTCGAGGGGGTACCTCCAACTGACTTGTGCACGGCACCCTACTAACCGGTCTCTAGCGATGTGCCAAATTTGAGCACAATCGGCCCAGCCATTCTCGAGATCTGGAAGCGGCACCCTGCACGTGCGCACGTGCAAAATGGGTCCCGACTGGCTTTTGCACGGCACCCTACTAACCGGTCCCTAACTGTGTACCAAATTTGAGCGCAATCGGTCCAGCCGTTCTCGAGATCTGGAAACGACCCCTGCACGTGCGCACGTGCAGCAGCACCCCAACTCTGGCACATGGATATGCAGTGCCTAGTGGGTGCCTACCTACTTGCCAACTTTCAGCGCAATCGGCCAAGTAGTTACCGAAATATTGCAACAATTGCAAAACTGACACCTCTTCGTTTTGCACGTGGCACGTGCATAAGGGGTCACTCACATGCATCGGGAATAGTCCAATACTTGGTAGAAGGAATGAAGCTACCCTATAAAAATTACCGCGTGTAAATCGGTCAAGTGGTTGCTGAGATATAAGCCTCGCAAAAGCGTCCGCACGGCCGGCCGGCCGGCCGGCCGGCCGGCCGGCCGGCCGCTCATACTCAGAAATTTCCGTTATTCTACGTAAGACTCCGCTCGCTTCGCTCGCTCCGTAACAAATTCAATGCCGTCTAAACGAAAAAAATAATGCTAAAAATGGGAATACGTAACAGTTCTGTATTCAACCCACATGGTAAAAAGTGATTCGCCGGAGCGTTCAAATATATACCGTCAATCTGCAGGATAACATGTAGGTAGCTACCTGCCAAGTACCTAAATTTAATAGTTCAGCCACGGATTATATGTACCTAGCATACCTAAGCACAACCACATAGTTCAGCCTTCTCCAAATGCATGCTCTGTTTCCAGCGCCTTATATTCTCATTCAAACTCAGTTGTTGTATCTGGAATCAGGTGTCATTGTTTTGTGCAGAAGTCATTAGTCTATCCATCAGTAAACAACCATCCACATAAACGGCTAAATGTAGACCAACCTATGCGCTTCAATGAAGGCATTTCAAACATTTATTTCAATATATGACAAATTGTTAGGGTTACCTTCAACGGGGCTAAAAACTCGAGGCCTCAGTCTTTGAACAAATGTTCTCAGCATGTCTATGGGCTTCTGGAACTGTTCCTGTTGGTTGTAGCTGGTACGGTGGTGGCCGGCTATTGCTTCACTGGTGAATGTTCAGACACCCCTTTGCCATTTTGATTGCAACGCGATCTCGAAGGCTATGCTTATGTCCCCGTTGCCGTTCCTGGTTGCTGTGGGTTCTGGTTGCTGTCTGGTTTCTGGTTGCTCTCCGCCGCCTGTGACGGCCCTGCCGCCGGCTCAGGCTGCTTTGCCGATGTTCCCTCTGCTGCTGCTGCCGCTGTTGGTTGTGCTGGGGCTCCTTCTGCCGCTGTCGGTGGCTGTGGGTCGTTCCTGTGACCTCCACTGTTTCCTCTGTTGGTGAGTAACGGCGGCACGCTCTGAGCAGCGGCGGGGAGGGGCTCCACCGCGTCCGAATCACACCTGCCACAGCACAGGGTCTTCTTATAGGCAGCCCGCAGCTTTTCGTTCAGCAGACCGTATCCCCAGGCCTCAAAGATCAAGCCGAAAAGGCGCAGCTGAAGAAGGATCGCGTTGAGTCTCGGCGTTGGATACCACAGACTAGATATCCGCAGCATCGGAGTGATGATATCCAGTGGCACGGTGAGTGTGAACACCCAAACGATCTTTCTGAACTCGCTGAAATTATCCACCAACTGGTGATTCTCTTGAGATACGGCTGCCCTATATCCCACCTCCTCAAGTTCTCGAGTGAGGCGGGCTTTGGAGCGACATCCGACCGCGGCCGTGAATACGAGGGTGCCGACAGTGGCCAGTGAGAAGAGCAGGGTCTGCACCTCTGCCAGGACGGCGTACACGGCCGCCAGCGAGTTTTCCCAGCGGCACTCGGAGCGGCCGACCGTGCTGTTCCCGTAGCCGCCCACCCTATCGGCGGGGGTCGGCAGGCCCAGGGACACGGCGATCACACCGAACGTGACCTGGACGGCCCAGGTGAGCCAGGTGGCGGCGAGCACCCAGCGGCGCGCGCGCGCCATCAGCGAGCGGTGCTCCAGCGGCCGGGAGATGGCCACCAGCTGACCCGCCGCCACGCACAGCTGGGCCATCTTGAAGCCGCCGCCGAACCCGAACCCGGAGTACTGGAGCGCGCGGCACAGGCCGCCGGCGCGCAGCTGGAGCACGTCGTACGCACCCACCGTGAACAGGTTGACGCCGATGAGCACGCAGACCAGGGAGATGTTGCCGACCAGCAGCGCCATGGGCTCCTCCCAGAGGTGGCGGTTGGTGACCATGGCGATCAGCGGGGCGCCGAAGTTGGCCGTCAGCAACAGCCCCAGCACCACCTTCACGAGCGGATTCGACATGATCGAGGACGTTTCAGACGAGTACTGCGCCGGGTGTGTGGGGCGTCAGTGGACTGAGGCTGTCTGCCCTGATATGCCTCTTATTCCACGCCCGTAACCATGGTGCAACTAAACCAAACTCTAAACGCTGCTCGTTACTGCAGTCATGCAGTACTAACAGCAGGCTGAGTACTGAGAGGCTCGACATTTGTCCGGCATCCTTCTGTGGTCATGGCAGCGAAAACCAAACTTTACCTCCCTGAGCAGTGAGCACTTAATGAGCAGTGAGTGGGCGTCAACGGCCAGATCAAGAAACAGCATAATCGCTGATTGCGTTCTGATTCTGGTCCCTGGTAGGGTATTCTTGTCGCGCAGTGAAGCTTCGGGTCGAGTCGTCTGTATTTTTCGCAGAAAATAATGCTGCTGTTAGCGTTTGGTTGTGTCGGTTAGTCGTTCCTGGATGTTGGGTATTTTAAATCAATTCATGCAACAAAATAAAGTTATTCAACTTAGAGTTTAGACGGTCTCCGATAAGATTGAATACCAATTGTTCGATCAGACGCAGGCATGTCAAACGCATTGTCAGCTAGATAGGTTCACTGAAATCATTTGGTTGCCGAATGACACCGTCTATTCTGCCGAGCGGCGGAATGAAACCTACAGACTGTGCTCCGCGTATGCCGTATATTATACATCTCGTCACCATGGCGACGGTTACAGGGTGCCAGCAGGCAGCAATCATCCACAGCCGCAGCCTGCACCTCATTTATGTTGATGAGCGGGTCTCTCATCAACTCCAGACGTCGTAAGATCGTGACTGGGACCATGGCTGGCCGACCAGCGACTAGAGCTTGCCGGCACCACAGCGGACCGAGCAGCGGTTATAGAGCTGAAACCAGCCCAGGACCACTGTCTTACAGCCTTCCGCGTGATGGGATATTGTTTGTTTCCAATCGTTGTCGGTTATGATCCGGAGATAGTCTTGGACCTAACTGTGCATCGTTTACTGTTCGTTTGCATCGTTTGCTTTTTTGTTCGGTTTCATACCTGATGAGTATGACGCATCGTTGCAGTCCCTATAGTTGTGTAGAATATGTACCGTTGTTTGTTTCAGTGCCTAAAAAAGCTGTGTCGTTCAGGCGAGTGAACCAAGTTAGGAACCTAACTTCCAGGACAAACGCCGTTGCGCGATGCATGCGACATTACGGGGCGTGCGCCGTTACGATCTCATGGCCTCATGTTTCAGACCGAGGTCACCGGGCGGGACGCGGGAGACTATGGGTGTCCACTGTCCAGTGAGAGGTGCTGCCCTCACCAGTACCTACCAAGGTCAGACAGACCATTCCAGGCACGTGCGCCCGCCGCGCGCACAGCCCAGCAACAATGGGCCAGATCTGTGTCCCATCTGATCACAAAAACTGAGGCCGACACCGGGATCTGATCGATCAATTCGAGCACTGACAATACCATGCCGGGGTCTGTTTGTGTGCTGAATTTCTCTTCACTTTAAGGCGCCACTTCTCTGATACATCCCAGCAGTTTTGGCCGGACGCTGGGCAAGCACTTGATCGCTAGTCTGATGTCTCTCCGCTCTCAACTTTGAAAAGTCTGACGGGGTTGGGGACATCTAAGTCATTCGTCTTGTGGTTATGCCATTACCTACGCGGTCAAATGCACACGAGCTCGTACCTTTATCCTGTCGTTCTAGCCCACCACTTTGATCCTTCCTTGCTCATGTTTCCTAGTAGTCGTGCCTCCGATAGACATTCTGACAGCTCCATTTCGGTCCCACCAGGCGTTCGCCCTACTGGTGACATCGCAGGTTCTAATCTGCCTAGGCGTCACCTTCGGCATCAACAGCGTCACCCTGATCCAGGTGCCGCGCCAGCCGGACCGCTTCCTCAGCGACGGCCAGCTCAACTGGACCGTGTCTGTGACGATGCTGGGCGCGCTGCTGGGCGGCCTGGTGTCGGCGCCGGCCGCCGGGCCGCTCGGCGCCCGCCGGCTCTGCCTGCTGGCCATGCCGGCGCACGCGGCCGGCGCGCTGGCCGCCGCGCTGGGCGGCTCGTTCGTCTGGGTGCTGCTGGGCCGGCTGCTGATGGTTGCCGCGCTGGGCGCCACCGAGGGGCCGGCGCGCGCGCTGCTGGCCGAGGTGGTGGCGCCGGGCCGGCGCGCGCTGGCCGCCACGGCGCTGAACGCCGCCCTGGGCGTTGGCCAGGTGGCGGTGCTGCTGGCGGCGCCCTGGCTGCGCTGGCAGACGCTGCTGCTGGCGGCCGGCTGCGCGCCGCCGGCGCTCTGCGCGGCCGGCCTGCTGCTGCTGCCCGACTCGCCCAGCTGGCTGCTGGCGCGGGGACGGCCGGCCGAGGAGGCGCACCGCGCGATCACCTTCTACCGGCCGGAGGCGGACGCCGCCGCCGAGCTGGCCGCCGTGCAGTCGGCGGCGGCCGGGTCGGAGGGCGGCCCGTCGCTGTGCCGGCCCGAGGCGCTGCGGCCGCTGGTGCGGGGCGGCGTGGCAATGGCGCTGGTCGGCTGGTGCGGCGGCTCGGCGCTGGTGCAGATCACGCCGCTGGTGCTGGAGCCGCTGGCGCTGCCGCTGGGCAGCTACCAGCGCGCGCTGCTGGTGCCGGCGCTGGGCCTGCTGCTGGTGGGCGCGGCGCTGCCGCTGGTGGACCGGTACGGCCGGCTGCCGCTGCTGCGGCTGGGCGGCGCGCTCTCGGCGGCCGGGTGCGCCACCGTGGCCGCCTACTGCCTGCTGGAGCCGGCGCGACAGGCGCGGCTGGGCGGACTGGCGCTGACCGGCGCCCTGCTGGTGGCCGTCGCCCACTTCTGCCTGCTGGGCCCGGTGCTGTTCACGTACGCCTCGGAGCTGCTGCCGAGCGGACTGCGCGAGCGCGGCGCCATCATCATCGTCACGTGCCTCAACTCGGGCGTGTTCCTCATGCTGAAGCTGTACCCGATTATGCGGGAGTCGCTCGGCCTCGGCGGGACGTTTGTGGTTCACACGGCCGCCAGTCTGGGTATGGCGCTGCTGACCGCCGGATTTCTGCCCGAGACCAGAGGACTCTCACTGGAGCAGATCAGCGACCTGTTCACAGCCAGACCGACCGACAAGGGCTCCGTGGAAAGGCCAGAGGACTCGGCAAATGACCATGCACAGACGTCGGTTTAGATAGGCACAGCCAGAGCGACCGACTCTGGCTCCGTGGAAAGGCCAGAGGCGTCGGCATAGAACCATGCCCAGACAGAGGTCGGTTTAGATAGGTGTATTTCGCTCATCAATTTGTATCAAGTAGCCGTGTGTTAGGTAATCAACCCATAAGGCGAATGATGCAGAGTGAGATGTACTTTTGTGAAATCGTGGACTTGTATCAATCTTTTTTCATGGGACCGATGACAAAATAAATATATGTTATCTTTTCTTTGTTTAAGAGAAGCCCACATGTTTGTTGATCATTTATGCTTTAATATCCCTATTAAATCGTTTCAATTCAATAAAGTAGGTAAACGAAATGGCTAAAAAGCGCTCAGGCCCGTCAGCTTGGGAGAAGTTTTTGCTCTTGTAGAGTCTTTGAACCTAATTGGTACACAAATTTAAGAACTTTTCTTAAATACCGCCGAAAGTCATTATCCAGCTGAACAAAACAGAACCGCCTGTTCTGATCGCTGAGCGCGTCTGTAGGTAAGTACTTAGCTCCCGGATCTGCGGCACGCAATCAAAGCTCTCCTGCGGCCGGTAAATGGCAGTGCGTCGGAACGACTGTCTCCGCCAGAGGCTGTAGGGATAATACGGCTTCCTTATTATAGAGCCGCGCTCTGTTAGCGCTGCTCTGAATCGGCTCTGGCTCAGACAGCTGCAAAACCATGGTACCGGGGATGGTGAGTTCGACGTGCTTCAGTATCACAGTTTCTGCTGAGACCGGCTCCATTAGCTGTTTTGTTTTCGGGGATGTCCGAAGAAATCATCACTCATTATTGACCAACAGAAGGACAGGTTACGGGGATAAAATATTTTATTGTTTCAGGATATTGATGCAAGTGTAATAACACTGACACGCGGATCCTGTAAAACATTGCTCTTCTTCGTGAAGCCTTCGACATTATACCTGATAAGGTCAGATCGTATCCAAGGATGGATGGTCGGAGAGCACTCCTACCTGTATCATGTGTCATGTGACCGCAAAGGGTAGATGTGAGATCGATGCCGATACCTTCTTGTAGCTAGCGATGCTCCTGCCGCGAAAGAAAATTTGTTAGGTTGTTTTCCTCCTTCGTATGGTTTTGCACAATGCGAAATGTACGCTATTTTGCTTTACCTGTCATGTTTTTCGTACATGTGCTATATTTCTAGGTGTGCATGCTAATCTAAGTGCGCGCAAATGCCCCAAACAAGCCAATCACACAAATTATTTTCTTACGCTTAGGGAGACCACCGCTTTATTCCCCTCAGCCGGTATGATGGTCGATTCAATTACCGACCTCTCAAATGGTCATCCCACGGATTTTCAGCAACCCGATTCCTCAGTTTGAGAAGCGCTGTTATTTCCACACCTCGAACCACGATGTCATAGTCATTCATTATTACATCGACATTAATAATCGTGTGGCAAAACGTTTAGTAATTAGTCTTGGCAGATTCACCGTAAACAGTTTTATTGGACAACGCACATGATGCCTTGTAGTTTTCAGCTTCACAGAAGGTATCTAATGCTTAGCGCTGCCATCGTGTGGCCAATAGGAGACGTGGCCGCGGAGCCCTCACACACACCAGAAGTAGGTACTCGTAGATCACTTGCAGCAACATTTCTCACTAAGTGAAAGAGCTCGCCATGTCCTAAAACGCGCTCACTAGCGTTGCTGAAATGCAACCAGCAGCCCTACGTCAACATTTTCGATCTTTGAGACCAAGCATCATTGTAACATGCGTTGTTTATGTATAACAGCTCATATTTAACGTGCATATAGCCACAAACAACATAACCTCTCCTCTCTTTAATAACAAAACACAGCGCACCTGCCGCGAAGGATCACACCTCGTAATATTTCGCACCTCTCGCTCAAGTCATTCACTTCAGCATAATTCGCACTCACTCTCTGAAAGCAGCATACTATTTTGTGCGTCTGTCAAAGTTCCGCACCAGAAGCGTGTACCGTTGGCCGTCTGACCCTATGAGCCGCGCTGACGTCAGCGCCGTACCCCGTGCCCCGTACTCCGTACGTACGGCGTCGTACGGACAGTCACCGATCGCCTCAGCGATCATATTAGTCTTTATGACACTGGAACCTTCACCGAGTGAGCAGTGGAAATCTCACACGACCGCCATTTAACACTGGAGATCTCACCAATCACCCCAGTTTGACACGAAGTCTCCGAATGCAGGCCGACCGCCAACCGATAGCCGTCACTCTCCCAGCGGAGCAGGCCCACAAAGAGGAATACGGACCGTGTGACACGGAGTCAGGTCGTCCTGGGAGTCCTCCCTGTCGATTGTCAGGGCCAGGCCGCGGTGGGGCCGCCACTGTCAATGGAATTTGAGTCCACTAATTCGCACTTGATCCACCGAGGCTGACTGGGCACCTCTCCTCATGGAACTGTAGGAATGCTGTGGACAGAAACAGAAAAGCAGTGGGAATTAGTCGGCAGCGTGCTTGTCGCGTATTCAAACACACTTCACTCGTATGCAGTGGCGCGGGAACCCGGGGGAGGGGGGCTAGCGGGGGCTGAGTCCCTCCAACTTTTCGGCTGGGAGCGGGGGGGGCTGTAATGTACCTATTTGAGCCCCCTCCCCCAGCTGGAGGAATCGAAATCGGAAATCTACCGACATAATTTCATAGATTCATGCATAGGCGCGGGAACCGGGGGAGGGGGCCGTGGGGGAAGCTTGCCCCCACAACTCTGCGGCCGTGGGAGCGGTGCCCCAGTACTTTTCATGAGGCCAGGAACCGTTGGGCAGCTTGTCCTCCCCAAATTAGGGGTTGTGGGTCACAAAGGAAGAAAGCATGTAGGGGAGAGTGGGGCAAAGCGGCCACCCGGGGCAAAGCGGCCACCCATCGTTTTAGCCCTTCATAGCTGGCGTCAGTTCAAATTTATGGTTTCCAATTATACTTCTGTTCACGGTCGTTCGAATGAGCCAGACCGGGGTTTCAGGCCCATCACCATTGTTCTGTGAAACACGGAAAAGCATTTCTTGCCAGGTTACCAACTATGTTTACAATTTTTAAATGTTATGTTATTCCATAACCGTTTGGAATTTTTATAAGCGTTCTTGTCCATGCATTGCATGGTTATCGTACATGTATTCTACCAATTTTAATGCTTTTTACCCCACTAATAGCTAAGCTGGAATATTTTTGTCTCTGACGGTATGCGCGGGGCAAAGTGGCCGGGGCAAAGTGGCCACCCCCCAATTGGCAATAAGTTGTTTGCATCTGGATAAAAAACATTATTTATATTCAAATGTGTCGTCATGCATTCATCTTGGCCACTTTTCAGTTGCATGAGTTACCAATTAATGCAATTAAATGTTTTTTTTTCATGAAAATCCTTTCTTTGTTTACCTACAGGCGGAAGATGATAAAGTAAACATCCATCCTCGCTTAACCTTGTCACCATCAAATACCCTAGTCGTACACGAGGCAGCTATTTTGTTTCTCATATCGGGACTTGAGAAGACGCCGGTGGCCGCTTTGCCCCAGGGTATGGGGCAAAGTGGCCAATATGCATAGGTTTAAAGTTTTGTCCATATCTTCCATATGTGAACGCCTTTGGAAATAAAACGCAGTTGAAATAAAAGGCAACTTAATAGGGATCACATTGGTATAGAAAGAATCTTTCCAAGTTTAAAAATCAAGCGTTGGCATCATGAGAAGCGTTAGGGTGGCCGCTTTGCCCCACTCTCCCCTAAGTGAAAAATCCACCTCTTTCACTGGCTCGGCAACTCATTTGGCAGATTAAAACCTTTATTCCAAGTCGCCAAAACGGTAGTTTCTTCACTCAGCTGAGACGGAATACCTCATTTTGGAATACCTCAATATTTTCCTTTTTTTTCGTTGAAAAGGCCAAGGTCTGAAAAATAAGTGGCCTAAAAATGGTGAGAAAACTAGATTTCGGGGTACCCTAGGTTGATCTCTATTATGGTTCAGCCCTCCCCCCCCCCCAGCTTGGAAGAAGTTCCCGCGCCACTGCTCGTATGGCGCTTTCTACAACGGTCATTTTTCGATAAAAACGTTGCCGATTGTGTAGGATAAGTTGATAAAAACGATAGATGAATTTGCAGCAATCTGCATTCCGGAAATTCACGTACACATTTGGCAGTTGTCTTCAGTAATGATCCAGCGAAATGGTTCCACGTCGCTCCAGCGCTCTGAAATAAAGCAGACGTATGGATAGATATGGAATATGGATCAACTCACACAGACCTTGGCCTGATTGTACCGGACCTAGCTCCTCAGCAAATTGAGATAATGGTTAAACGTTTACCTAAACAAACTCACTTCAACCCAAGTGTCTCCGAATGCGCACGTCATAGAGATGACACAGGACAGCTGTTTTCCTGTAGTCTAAAATGTCGAATCAGACGGTCTTTGATACACTGTATATATCCGGGCGTGCCACCCGATCCGGAGGACGCCTCCCTGCCGCGGCTCCCCACTGACCTGGGCACCGGAGCCGGACTGTTGACCACGCTGTGGCTCTCGGTGACACGACACGCTACCATGTTGTACTCTGACGGAGAGGGGGGGGGGGGGGGGTAGGCGTCACAAACGGTCTGTGTTGCCGATAGTCAGAGGAGGGCGCTCGGTCTGCGCGTTTAAATTCAGTGTAATAAATGTTAACCGAAGCTAATGTTGGATTCTTAAGCGATTCGAGAAGGGTATACACATAAAAATGCGTCATTTTTTCCCCCTCCTTCCCAGCTTGTTCCTTTTCCTCTTCCTCTCCCACCTTTCTCCTGCTGTCGCCGTTTTCGTTTGTTGCATATTTTCACGGTGCAGATGGAGAGGATGATGGAGACGATGAGCAGCAGCAGACCGCCGACCAGCGCGGCAGTGATGGCCTTCTGCTGCACGTGCTCGGGCACCTCGTACATGAGCTCCTCGCTAGCAGTACTGCCCGCCGCCGAGAACGCCAGCACTTTGAAGTAGTACTTGCGGCCGCCGTGCAGCTGCCTCACTGCGGAGGGGGGCCGGGGGGGGGGGATCAGAAGAGCAGGAGACGAGATGTCAGTCAGTAGAACCAGGGGAGGCGACAAAGGCCTGCGTAACAATCGGAGGAGAGGAAGCATTGCTTTGCTTTGGAAACGTTCACGCCATAGCTTTACAGCCTTCACACCAGACCCTCGCCGCCTCTCAGTTCCTCACCTATGTATTTAGTTTTGGTGATTTTCCGGTCTCCCTGGTTGGTCCATTTGCCGTCCGC